AGAGTCTTGAAGAACAGGTCTTAACCTCTTACCAAGGGGCCTTCTTCGGCGATAGGGAGAGTACTTTGACGAAACAAAATCCTTAATCTCCAGCAACCACAGGAAAACCCGCTTGTGCAGTAGCAAGGAACGGATATTACATTTTGTGTAGGTAAAATTACACAAGCTCTAAAAAGCTGGAAATGTGGAAAGGGTGATAGAGTTCATGAAAAGCGCCATGAAGTGCTTAAAGCATTAGGCGAACAACGGCGATGACCGCGGGAAAGACACCAACGGACTGGAGAACGTGAGTTATTGTACCTCTATGCAACAAGGGAGACCACAGGGAGTGCTCCAATTATAAGACAATTACGTTATTCAGCCTCCCTGGTAAAGTCTACGCAAAGGTGCTAGGAAATAGATGTTGCTAAATAACTGACCTCAAGATACAAGAAGAGCAGTGTGGCTTCCGGCCAGATCGAAGCACCTCTGACCATATATTTTTCTCGCGCCAGATTGGTAATACGCCCGCCCGGTGAACATGTCATTTGCTGACCTAGAAAAAGCGAATAACCGGATCCAACGCAACAGTCTGTTGACATGCCTTCGTGCATACGATGCCCCAGCTGCCGAGGGCCATCCAATCACTATATTCTGACAGCAGGTGCTGCGTCAGAGTTAATGGCGTTAAGTCGAAACCATTCAACGTTCGCCCTGGTCTCTGCCAAGGCTGCATCCTGCCCCCAATCCTGTTTGTGTTGTATATGGATAGAATAGCCAGGAGCTGCCAAGGCGATGAGTGCATCGGTGGAGGAGATGTGAAGTCGAGAAGGTTACTGTTTGCAGACAACCTTATTTTTTTTAGCATCTTTTGAAACTGATCTTCATTGCTCCCTAGAAAGGTTCGCAGCCGAGTGCGACGTGACCGGCATGCGTGTGAACGCATCTAAAACGAAATGACTAGTGCTTTCTCGTTCTCCTGCCGTTGCTCTTTTCAGATTAACGGAGAGGCAGTGGAGCAGGTGGAGAAGTTCAAGTACCTCGGAACTGTA